GACTGGATAACATCCCAAATGGACAAAGGGAACACTGGGGAAAAAATTTACCTAGCCTTAGCAAAGCTTTTGACATAGTGGCAACACAACATTCTGATATGCAAATTAGCCCATTCTGGACTAGAATGGGAAAACTATTCGGTGGATCCAAGTTGGCTGCTAAATCGGACAGAAAGAGTGCTCATCAATGGTACCTTCTCAGATTGAATGGAGATAACTTGTGGGGTGCCACAGGGTTCAGTCTTGGGCCCAGTGCTCATCAACATCTTTATTACTGATTTAGATGAGGAAGTACCAGGAAAGATAATCAAATTTGAAGATGATACAAAACTGGATGAAATTGCAAACACACTATTGCAAACACACTAGAAGACAGAATGAAGATCCAGGGTGATCTTGATAAACTTGAACACTGGGCCGAAAGCAACAGAATGAGATTCAAGGATAAGTGTCAAGTCCTCCACCTAGGAAAAAGAAACTAAATGCATCAATACAAGATGGGGAATACGTGGCTCAACAGAAGTGAAAAAGATCTTGGAGTAATTGGACAATAGGCTAAATATGAGCCAACAATGCAATTCAGCCAGCAAAAGAACAAACGCTATTGTGGGGTGCATTAGCAGAAGTATTACTTCTAAATCGCGAGAAGTAGTAGTTCTTCTATACTCCTCACTATTCAGACCTCACCTGGAATATTGTGTCCAGGAGTTAAGAAAGATGCAGGTAAATTAGAAAGAGTCCAGCAGAGGGCAACAAAAATGATCCAGGGATTGGAAACACTGCCCTATGTGGAGAAACTGAGAGAACTGGGCATGTTCAGCCTTGAGAAGAGAAGACTGAGTGGGGACATGATGTCCCTCAAAGGCTGTCACAAAGAGGAAGGTGACACGGAATAATCAATTCAAGTTGCGACAACCTAGATTCAGGCTGGACATCGGGAAAAACTTCCTCACTGCCAGAGCAATACAACAGTGGAACCAGCTGCCTAGAGAAGTGCTGGGCTCTCCCACACGTTGTTGTTAGTCATGAAGTTGCGTCCAACCCATTGCGACCCCAAGGACAACATTCCTCCAGGCCTTCCTGTACTCCACCATCTCCCGGAGTCCACTTAAGCTCACGCCAACTGCTTCAGTGACTCCATCTAGCCATCTCATTCTGTGCCGTCCCTTCTTCTTTTGCCATCAATTGTTCCCAGCATTAGGCTCTTCTCCAGGGAGTCCTTCCTTCTCATTAGGTGGCCAAAGTATTTGAGTTTCATCTTCAGGATCTGGCCTTCTAAAGAGCTGTCAGGGTTGATCTCCTCTAGGAATGACTGGTTTGATCTCCTTGCAGTCCAACGAACCCCCAGGAATTTTCTCAAGCCCTACAATTCAAAGGCCTCAATCCTTCGGCGCTCAGCCTTCCTTATGGTCCAGCTTTCACGGCCATACATTGCAACTGGGAAAACCATAGTCCTGACTATACACACTTTTGTCAGCAGGGTGATGTCTCTGCTTTTTAGTATGCTATCTAGAATTGCCATAGCTTTCCTCCCCAGGAGCGTCTTTTAATTTCTTGGCTGCAGTCACCATCTGCGGTGATTTTGGAGCCCAGGAAAACAAGATCTGTCACTACCTTCATTTCTTCCCCTTCAATTTGCCAGGAAGTGATAGGACCAGATGCAATGATCTTAATTTTCTTAATGTTGAGTTTCAAGCCAGCTTTTGCACTCTCCTCTTTCATCCGCATCAAGAGGCTCTTTAGTTCCTCTGCACTTTCTGCATATCTGAGGTTGTTGATATTTCTCCAGGAATCTTAATTCCAACTTGTGTATGCTCTGCATACAAGTTAACTAGGCACGGCGACAGTATACAGCCTTGCCAAACTCCTTTCTCAATTTTGAACCAATCAGTGGTTCCATGTCCAGTTCTCACTGTTGCTTCTTGACTCGCATACAGGTTTCTCAAGCGACAAATAAGATAGTCTGGTACTGGACAGCCCTCTGAGTGGGATGGTATAATGTGGTGTCCTGCAATAGCAGGGGGTTGGACTCGATGGCCTTCATGGCCCCTTCCAACTCTACTAATTTGATGATTGTATGATTTCCATTGAGGGATAGGTACCCATCTTATCATATCTACATTACTAGAAGTCCAAGATCTGCCAACCAGACCCAAATTAGTGACTCTGGAACTAGAGGTACACTTAGAATGAAGGTAAAGGATACTTCTGAGCAGTCAACAAGATACCAAATACTCAGAGGTTGAGCGTGGATTGCGTACTACTTGCCACCGAACCATGAGCTGCCAATCAAAAATAGGTCACTCTATTTCTGAACAAAGCCAAGATAACAAGCCATGCTGAACAACCCAGTGTTCACAACCTGATAGAAAGCCATGGGTTTTCTTCATGAGTTGTTCATGAAAAAATTATGATTATTTAGCACAGGTGGGTTGATAACACAGTAAACCATGTTTCAATAACAAGGCATATGCAACCCATACACAACCCTTGAGTTTGCATTATTGTATTGTCTGAACCCAGTTACTCTGTCAAGAATTTTGTTTTCAGTACTAGAACTGGGCTCACAGTTTTTTCACCCACTCATGGTTCCCCCTGCTCAGCTTCACCCAAGCATTCTTCAATTTAGTAGCCTTATATGGGATATAGGAGCTTTTTGCTACTGACTGTCAGAAATCCTTGCCAATCTATGGCAAATCACCCAGAGATGTATCTTGAACTACCTTCTGCTGATTCCTGAACTAAACAGCTAACCATCGTTCTGACATTTTATAGTCTAAAAATCTCTAAAATTTTTTGCCTCAGGTTGCGAACTCCGCATTGGGTGACGAGCACGATTGTGCCTGCCTTCCCCGCACGATCATGCTCAGGTGGGTGGGGAGATGGCTGCAACCGTGCTTGCGAGGGAGATGACTCTCCCTTCAAACATCAACCTTCCCCCCCACCTACGTTAGCGTTCTCTGTCACTTTGTTTCAAATTTTTGTGATTTTAAAAAATGGTTACAGGGCGGATTAACCTTATTTACATTGAACCTTATGGGGAAATTTGACTTGGGCCACGACCAATTTGGGTCACGACCAGAGTTCTGGAATGGATTAAGTTTGTGAGCCAAGGTACCCCTGTATGTTGGCATGAAAGGAAGTGCTACTGATCTTTCAGTAGTGTGTATATCCAAGCAAGTATATTTAGGTAAAGGCTACAGCCATTCTAAAAGGCATTCAAATACTGGGGTGGGGGCTGGAAGAACTGTGGATTGATCCTTTGAGGAATAACCAATTTCCAATTTTAAGACTAGTAGGGTGGAGATGCTATGCCCACTCTCTATTCCCAACTTCCATCTTGCATGAAAAATATTCACAGAACAAGTTACCTCTGGGCAGAATCCAACAGGGTGTTTATACCCTGCTAATTCCTTTCTGCCCCATTGATTGTTTGCAGGTGGTGGGCCCTAATTCTCTTTTGCAAGCTGGACCCACTGCTCATGCAAGGGTGATGTAGCATTTCCTTCAGAAATCCCCTGACGGAAGCAGAAACACTCGTTCCTGAAAAGAGGCAGGTTGGCAGAGCTGCTTTATGAAGTTCTGCTGGCCTGTTCCCTTCCACACGTGAGCATTACTGCTCATTTCTGCTTGACCTGGAAGCACTAAACTGCTGCTGCACAAGTGCTGGGGGTTGACTGTACCATAGAATTAGCAGGGCATAGAACTGATGGAGAAGTAACTACACCATTAGGATTCTGCCCCATGTTTCCCACCTATATAAATACAACAGTATCTTGTTACAGATGGCCCAAAGAGAAGGGAATGGTCAACTTTCCTGCCACACAACAGCAGGTCCCTGTAGTACCCTAATGAGTAAGACACTTCAGCAACCAAGTCATGTGAATATGGAACTAGCTGGTGTGTTCTATCATCAGGAGAACCACCAGGACCAGATCTGAGAGAGAGAGAGAGAACCTTTCTATGATGATCAAATGCTGTGGAAAACAGTATTTCAGAACAAATCTGAACGAACAAAGTTCCCCAGAAGTGGCACAGGATTAAGCATGGGGAAGACTGGCAGCAGTCCAGAGAGTGGGTCATAAATCAGATCTGAAGTCATTATAAATCATTGTCAACATTAGAGAATCTATATTTTTCTGAACTGTCTGTCTAGGGAGCTGCATTATACTGAGCCTGACTCATGGACCATCCAGACGTATCATAGACACTGATTGGTTCTTTTTCTGGGTTTCAAGCAGGACTTTTGACAGCCCTCCTTGGAGATACTGGAGATCAAACCAGGGCTCCCCTGCATACAAAACAGGTCCCCCACCACTGAGCCAGAAAAGGCAGCAAAAATCTTGACAGAAGGAAGGTTTGCTTGCGGCTTCCTATTATTTGGCCTACCTTGATACTGGCAAGCAGTATGAGCAAGCACCCACCTGAAACTTCTGAAACGTGCTGCTCAAAACTGCAGACAACACAAATCCCTAATTCCTGCCGTTCACATTATCAATCGTTCCAAAAATGAAATGGGTAAGCAGGAGGGTTTTTCCGTCCTCTGATCCGTCCTTACATGAGGATTTTCCTTCGTGTTTGCTCCATCTTGCAGCACACAACTTATATTTGGTTTCCTCAGAAGAATATTAGCATTCAAATCGTCTGAGAAGCAGAAATCAATCTTTGCAAAAACTGAACGCCACTATAACCATTTAGTAAACCTGGCCAGGGCCTCCTCTCGTCCTCCGAGCTCTAAAAGGGCATAGGCTTTCGAGAAACGACAGCAGAGAGGGACGGAAACAAGCATTTAGGAAGGACTGTTTTCATGCCAAAGCTATCTATGATAGCTTCGTACAGAGAAGGGAAAGATCCTCCTGGAATTAATGTCGCTCTCCTCCTTTCCAGGACAGAAATTTCTGAGCTTCATGCATGCTTAGAAGGGAGTGGCGAGGGCGCCGGGCGAGCTAAACTCCCCTCCGGTCCCCCTGGGGTTGCAGCACGAACGCAGGCGCTATTACCTTTCCCAAGCAAATGTGGCAAGTGATGGGCAGCGTGAGAGACAGCGTAACGCTCTGAACGTTCTGAGCCATTGTGACGTTTCGAATCCCGCGAGCGTGCAAGTTCCAATCCACAAGCTGCAACGGCCACACTAGCGGCAGCCAAGGAAGACTCGCTCTTCAACTCTCACGCTGCTAAAGCTTCGAGTACGGCAGGCCAGCGAGGCCAATCTTCCTGACACACATGAGGGCGCTTTTCAGAATTCTGCTTGTTGGAGGGGGAGGAGCTCAAAAAGAGAAACTGAGCACATGGAGCGTGGGTAACGTGCGCCTCTCGCTAGGGTTTTCCTCTAAAACTTGCAGGATGAGGGAGGGAAAAACGTTAAACTTGATCCTGGACTTTCCATTTTGAAACGGAAGGGATTGGATTACATGATTGAGCATCTGTCTTATTTAACAAGCGAACAATATCGCGCCACATAAAAAAAAATGGATGATATGGAAAGAGTTTCAAATTGTGCCTCCGAAATTAGAGGTCTACATTTTCGCAGTGGAGGGAATTGATTTGTAGGAAAAGCCGTTCAATAGTTGAGCTCTGGATCCTGAAGTGATCCTGCCCAAACTCCAGTTTAGCATGTTAGGCTAAGCAGTTGAGGACCATCTTCCCCATATATGGTGCTCGCCAGATTTCAACTCCCATCAGTCTCTGCCAGTATGGCCCGTGGCCCAGAATGCTTGAAGCCTCAGAGATCTGGAGGGCACCAAGTTGGTTGAGGCTGGCTTAGGGTGTCATCAAATGAGATGAGAGAGCATGGTGCAAGGTCAGCTTGTTGCAGCAGTGTAGATTAGGTGATTTAAGTTTAGCCAGGTCTAAGGACAACACCTAAATCTCCACACTGTGTGGGTATATATTTATGTGTTGCATTTACATTCCTCCCCCACCCCCCCGCCAAGGAGTGCAAGGTAGCATGCACACAATCCTCCTCTCCATTTTATCCTCATAACAACCCTGCAAGGTAGGTTAGGTTAACAGTCATTGAGCTTCATGGCTGGGCAGTGACTAGAACCTGGGTCTCCTAGATATATATTCAGTCCAACATTTTGACCAGGACACCAATTGGCTCTCATTTAGGTAGGTTGATAACAGAATGCAGCCTTTTCTGAAGGCTGTTCCTTGTATTGCCTAAAATGATTGCAGTGGTCCTCCAGGGTTTAGACAGGCATTTCACTAGCTGCCTGGAGGTGCCAGGGATTGAAATGGGGCTTCTGCATCCAGAGCAGATGTTCTGCCACTGTTCTATATTCCTGTACTGTCAGCCTAACCTTCACTCTGTATTATTTAGCTGAGAGTGAACATCACATCACCTTCCAAGCCTTAAGTCACAATTCTGAATCTGTATGTGTAAATATCTTGTCCAAATTCAGCCATATTTCTGTTTGTAAGATGTGAATGTCCGTATCCTATGCAGAGTTGTCCAGCCCTCTTTATTCACACAATCAGACCTACCATCACACTGATTGGAATAGCCCCTAATTTGATGCAATGAAGTGATCAAGCAAACTTGCCCGACTTTCAGTTTGGGATATAGTCTGCCTGCCCGATCTCAAAGAAATCCTGCCCGTAGCACCTCTAGGCATGGAGCACCATGATGCCCCTATAGCATTCTAGGAAGGGATCTATCCAGTCCATCCCCCTGCAAGTGGAGCTGCCCCACAGCGGGAGGGAGGGGGTCACTCAACCTCTTGGGCCTTCATCTGAGTGCTGCCTCTGCGGGGAGCATGGAGTGTGGCAACAAGGGGCGGCTCTCTCCCCTGTTTATGGAATAACCTCCCCATTGGGGCCCAACTGGCACTGAATGTGTCACCTTTTCAGCACCAGGTTAAGATGGCCCTCTATGCCAAGAGCTTTTTTTAAAGCCATATTTAAACAAACATCTGGATACTTAGGGGCTTGAAGAGATTGCCCATCTTGCGTGTTTCATCCAAATCTTTGTTCTTGTTTGGATTTAACTCTTTTAAACTTTTAATGTATTTCTGCTTTTATATATTGTATATTTATACATTTATTTGATTTATACCCCACCTTTTCCTTTTGTAAAGAACACAGATTGGTTTACATAATTTCCCTCTTCCTGTTCTCAGTCTTATTCCCACAACAACCACCCTGTGAGGTATATTGGGCTGAGAGTCTGTGACTGGGCCAAAGTCACCCAGAGAGTTCCATGCCTGTGTGAGAACTAGAATCCAGATTGTCTGAGTCCCAGTCCCAGGCTCTTCACCACTACGCCTCACTGGCTTCCAATATGTCTTTTATGAACTATTGTAAAGTGACCAGAGAGCGTTGGCTGTGGGATGGCATAGAAATGAAATAACAACAATGTAACTGTCCCCAAACTTCCTAATTTCTCTCAGCTTCATACTGTAAGGACTGCAAAGCTATTGTGCTGGTTAGGGAAGTCTTCCCCTTGTGGTTGAAGGTGTTACTGCATGTTTCAACTCTACAGATGCATTTAAAATAATGAGAATGCATTTAAAAAATAACTCCAAGGTTCACACCCCTAAGGTCTTGGAGTTTTTGAAAACAGCCAGATTCCACATATGTAGGTTTCAAGGTCTTGGTGTTTTTGAAGAGCAGCTGGACCCACATCCTTTTATATAAATAATCAACTTTGTAGAAACCATCTTTCCTGTGATGAGTATTTCTCATCTTCTCTATTTCTGGCCATCCTTATAAAGGATTAAATGGGTCCAGATACTAGCTAAGCATTGCGATGCTAATCCTTTGGCTTCCAAATGACGGATAACATGGCTGTGGTTCTAACATGATGTAAACAACCCAAGCCTGAGCAAAGGCTCTCTCCAAAGTGTAATCTCAAATCAGACCCTGAACATATACACAGCTGGCTTTTTAACCACTATGGGCATCTCCCTCTGCTTGCCCCAGCTTCCTACTCTGTACATAATGCAAAGGTTAGTTCATGCATTAACTTCCTGAAAAGCCCAAAGCAGGTCTCGTGCCTGCATTCTGTTCAGCTGTGTTAAGTGAATAAGGCTTTTCCCAAAATTTCAGAATTAAGTGACTAGTCAACACTTGTTTGCCAGCAGTAGCTGTTCAATCAACTGTTACAGAAGGGAAGAAAAGAGCCCTTGCTCCAGTAGAGTGACCATTGGTGCTGGGGAAGATAGGAATAGCAGTACATTGGCTACCATACATCAGGAGGGTACCAAGTTGGGAAGGCTTCTCTAGCTGTTACATGTTTTATCTTAAAAAAAAAAACAAAGTTAGCTGAACATCCCAGAGAGATGGGGTGTTGGTCCGAACCTGGGAGATACAGTTAGAAACACAGGGAGTTAGAAGGGACCCCCCCACACAAACTGGCTCTGCCCATGTAATGCCCAACCTGTGGGTATCCAGTCTTTCTTTGAACACCCTCACCGATGAGCCCCGCACCACTGTGGAAGCACATTCCATATCTTAGGGGTCCTTAACTGTCAGGAAGTGCTTCCTGGCAGCCAACCTGAAACCCAGTTCCTTGAGCTTTGCCCCATTGGATTGTGCCCTTCCCTCCACCGCAGCAGAACAGATCGTGACCCTCTTCCATGTGACACTCCTTCACAAATCTGTATGTCACTAGGAGTCCTCTCCCGGTTCCCTCAGTCTCATCTCATATTGCATCCCAGTCACAGACTCTCAGCCTATCCTACCTCACAAAGCTGTTGTGAGGATAAAATGGCGTGCTATGTAAACTGCCTTGGGGTTCTTTCAAGAGGAGAAATGACTGCATAGAAATGCAATGCCGTCGTCGGCGTTGTCATCATCGTCATCATCTGTTCTCCAGTTATTGCAACTCTGTTATGTCTTGACCCTCTTCCCTGCCTTGACAGCTCTGTCCAGCTTTTAAGGTAAAGATGAGGGCTTTTCCTCCAGCTACGGTTACTAAGCAGGACCAATGGGTCTCCTCACTGTTGCTTTTTGAAAGGTACAAACATTTTACCTTGTCACAGCTGGCATCCAAGGAAAGGACAGACACCGATTTTAATGCAGGGGTAGGAATCATCAGGCACACCTCATGTTTTGGCTTACCACTCTGTCCCACAGGAAGGCACCCTTGAGAGCGTCTCCAAAATGGTGTTCAGCATTTGGACTGAAAGACATCTCCCACCCCTACTTTTGGGAACTGATACATCCTATCTCAGGCTGCATATTTGGAAATAAACAGCACCATGTATAAAGTTAGGCATACCAAGGTACATTTGTTTTAATGAGTTTACAAATGCCTAAATCGAGCACTGTGTTCTCTCAGCCACCAAGAATCCTCGTGTTTGTCATTCAAACAGATACCCAATGGGCTGAAGAACCTTTGGTCTTTCCATATGGCCAGCTTTGCATATGAAGTGATGCACCTCTGCTTCGCATGCTTCAAATACTGCCCACATGGGCTGCCCTAAAAGAGAGAGAGAGAGATAGATAGATAGAGAGAGAGAGAGAGAGAGAGAGAGAGAGAGAGAGGGAGAGAGATCGGGCACTTGCTATCCAAACTGTCCACAGGATACCAACCCATGATTATAAATAAGAAACTTGGCTTGGATCTCATATGTTCTGTGCAAGTAGTACATGCCTGGGTCATTTTATGTGAAACAAAGGGGTCAGTTCAGTCCTTGTGCCCAGGGCAAGGTGATGGACTGTGCTCCTTGTTCAGTCTAATGCTATTAAATGTGGGAGATATTTATTCACTAAGTAAGGAATCTATGTCTAAAACCACAACTCCCATGAACTCCCTAAACTCAGGGGGCTTTGGGGCAGACTACAAAGTGTGGGTGAAAATGGTAGCCAGGTGAATTTCCCTTTCCCATCTAGTTTACCGGTATTACTATTTCAGGTCATGCTATTATTATCATGACAGGGTGCTCCTTCAGTCTCTTTCACATCATATCCCACTGCCTGGGATATGGATACATAGAAACTGAGCAAGTCAGAGGGGGACCTCCCAGGCCATCTAGTCTGACCCCCGGCTCCAGCCAGTTTCACTCATGATACATGTGACATACATTCCATTGATGTCAGGACAGGGAGTAACTTGAACTAGACATTATGGAAGAAGGTCTGGGAACTCAGCAATGGGGTTGCCATTTTCTG